ACTGAACGAGACTTTCTGTAGAGACACACTTGGTCACAGTTCTTCAGACCAGTGCCCAGATACGGAGAAAAGAGATTCATGGAAAGACTGTGTCTGTGCTGTTCACAGGGTCAAGCTGGACAGGCCAGGATCACCAGTGCCCAGCTGTGTGTCCATGAAGAGTGGTGGGTCAATGGAGCCACCAATGCAGTTCAGAGGTGGAGCCCTTGACACTAACCCCAGGTGAGGTCAATGTTGTCCATTGAGTGTATCTGTTAGCAGGTTGTGAGATGAGATTGTGTGAACTGGATCATCTCTTCCTTTCTCATTTCCTTTGTTCTGTAAAAAGTTTAAGAAGTATAAAAAACACAGAATAGCATGTTCTCTCTAACATGTTTCAAATACTAACAGTAGCTCCAGTCAGATCTGGTTTGGATGATCATGAAGTAGGGGCTCTTGCCTGGAACAAGCTTCAAGTCCCAATTCCTGTGGGCTCCTCTCTCTTCTCTGCTTGCCTGCTTCTTGTTTCTTCTTCTCCCTGTGATCTTAATGTGATCTTATATTGAGTGTTTCTGTCCTGCTCCTTGACAATAATTAATCCACAACTTCACTAGGTATACTAAGGTAAACTTTACAATTGTTTTTCCTCAAGGGACCCCCAGACCTCAGCAATCATCCTCGATGTTTTGAAGTTAGAAGTGTTTACTCTGTCAAGTGTCACAAACTTAATCTAAAATCAAAGAGACACTTCTCAGCCACCTAAAGCTGGAACAATACACTACTGATTTATCACTTATAACTACAACATCACCAGCTAGATGATCAATATGTGACTTCAATAGAGCAGTTCTGACTCTTCAGTTTAAAAGTGAGCTGCTCCAATGTGGAAAACCAGCAGAAACACCCTGGGGTTCAGGCTGTTCACAAACTGGGACTTTGTGCTGCCCCCTGTAGGCTCTTTCCTTCAGGCCATGAAGAGGGAAAGTGAATGTGAGGGCAGGTGTTGAAGTGGGAGAACAGCCCCAATACCAGCACAGCCAGTCCTGAACATCATATACTGTAGGCAGCAGAGAGAAGCACTTGAACACAGAATGAGACTTTCTGAAGGGACACAATTGGTCACAGTACTTCAGACCAGTGCCCAGATATGGAGAAAGGAGATTCATGGAAAGAATGTGTCTGTGCTGTTCACAGGGTCAAGCTGGACAGGCCAGGATCACCAGTGCCCAGCTGTGTGTCCATGAAGAGTGATGGGTCAATGGAGCCACCAATGCAGTTCAGAGGTGGAGCCCTTGACACTAACCCCAGGTGAGGTCAATGTTGT